ATATATATATATATAATGTACACATATGTACATATGTATATGTGCATATATATATATATATATATATATATATATATACATTCGAAACGGTTCAGACTTAAAAATAAGTAGCCGAGGCATCGTACTACGTGGTACACACTAGTCTAGTAGATGGAGAATTCTAGACGATTGGACAATTTCGAAGGATAGATTTCGAAGAGGGGGATTTGAAGAGAAGCTTAGAAAAAGGAAAAGACACAAGTGGTGGTGGTGGTGGTGGATTCAAGTTTGGGAAAAAGATGAAATCGGGAAGGATAGATACGAGGGATGGAAAAGTTAGAGAAAAAGGAGATGGGTACATGGAACTCGACGAGAGGGTAGTACCGGTTGAGAAAAAAGGGAGGAGAGAAGGAGAGATAACGAAGGGCAGATAGAGGGATTCGACTAGAAACTAACAAGAGAAAATTGCACTGGTTGAAGAGAGAGAGAGAGAGAGAGAGAGAGAGAGAGAGAGAGAGAGAGAAAGAGGGAGGGAGGGAGAGGAGGGATGCTGGGTTGTCGAGGGGTGCATCCGGGATCTCCGAGGGTGGCGATTCGTGGGGCGGGCGGTCGGTCGTCATGGATACGTTCCCGGCTAACCCCTAACCGCTCCTCCTCCCTTGTCATCCACATTTTCGCGAGTACGCCGCCATCATCGACCCACCATCTTGTACGGGAGGACCGACCACGAGATGCGCCGCGTTGTCCTCCCCGTGTTCGAATTTTTCGGCCGCCCGATTTTCACGCTTGCTTTTCACGCAAAAATAATTACGACGATTACGATACATGCTTTCGAGGATGGCCAATCAGATTCGTCGAGCATTATCAAATCTTGGAATTCTCTCGATCGTTTCTTCCCTCCCTTCTGCGAAAAATTAAGCTCTCTTATCCGTTACAAGAACGAAGATTCTATTTTATTATAACCGAGAATATAATATTTTATTATAATTATATTTTATTATAACCGAGAAGAAGAAACGGGGGACACGTTACATTTATCCGCACCTTGCAAACAATTTGCACAGGAGAATTATATTTTTCCAATAAGAAGAAAAAAAAAAAAAAAAAAAAGAAAAAAACCGCGTAACAAATTATTACTCGGCCAAAACTATCGCCCATTTCCTTGGAAACTCGTCCACGCCGTGGGGAAAGATGGAAAACCTATCCGGCGCGTGAAGTTTTGAAGGCGGGCGGCCGATAAATTTCCGTGGAGAGAGCAGGATATTGGTGTGGCTGTGGAGAGAGAGAAGGCGAGCGGGCAGGCAGTCGACGACCGTTTTGCTCAGTTGGCAGCGGTTGCAACCCTCGTGCAATGCACCCCCTTCTCCCTCCTCCTCCTTGCACCGTGGTCGCTGCCCCCCCCCTCTCTTCCGTCCCTCCCCTCTCACTCACTCACTCTCTCTCTCTCTCTCCCCCCCTCAGTTTTCATCCCTTCTGGCGGACGGAGGCGTGGGCGGTAGATAACGTGATTTACACTGGCCGGGTAATTAATGTCCTCGGCGACCGGCGCTTTAAAAAAACAATCGGAAATCGGCGACAACGAAGAGCAACAGTAGTGAGGCCGCCGGTATCGTGGCCGCCACTCCGCTGACAAATTATATCAACCCGGAGATTTTCCTCTTTTTGTTTATTTATTAGCAACCCCCCCCCTCCTCCTTTTTTTATTACCGTTTTGCACGGCACGCATAGCGCATCAAGGTGTTCGACCGTGATTCGTGGAGAAAAAGAAGGGGAATATTAGAGAAAAATGCGTTTTTGAGAATTATACGCTTAAGTTTTGATAAGTGAAGGTAAATGGATGATCGAGAGCTTGTTATTGTTAATGATTTTATGTTGAAATTATTGAAATGTAGGCGTAACGTGGATTTTCGCGTTAGGCAGGAAGGTACGTGTTAATTATTCGCAAGGAAAAGAAATTAAATCTACTCGATCAGCGAGAAACGTCAAGATTGACGAGTTCGATTAGATCCTATGATTTTGGAATCATGAGAAATTCATGAGAAAATCCAAACCCGTAAGTCGATTTAATTACCCTGACCAGTGACTGGTTCCCAGCAATCACGTGCACACGTTTTGTATCGTACATTTTTTTTTTTTAGTGTTAGTCATACTTATGGATATAGAGTTTATCTGATCTTGTTCATTCAATTCATTGTTGCCTGAATTTTTATTATTATGCGTGAATAAGTCAAACGTTTCAGGCAAATGAAAGTGTCTAAGATTCTGGATAGATATAACAGAATATTTTTTATCTTGTAAATCTTGTGACCCTATTGACCAACTTCTGCTCGCATCGTGCAGGTAAACTGTATTACAACTTATAAGATGTTTCCTATGTTAATCGTAGGTCACGCAAGTAACCGTGGAAAAGCACACGCAACTCGATTACGTGAAGGATTGTGGCAACAAAGAACAAAGAAAAAAGTTAAGCTTCGAACGATTTTCCTTACATTTTACTTTCAAATCTTTTTTTATCCTCGTCGTAACTTTAACGAGTATATTGGTGCAAAACAGCGAATCGCGTGATAACATGAGATTATATATTTCTATTTTGAAAAAAGAAATCTGATTAGAGTGATAATTATCAACTCTTAGATCTTGTATAGACAAAGAATCGCGATAAATCTATTGCAATTTGTTTTGTAATACTTATTGTCAATTGTGGCGACTAAAAAGAAACTTGAATTTATAAAAAATATAAGAACTATATAGAAAGAATGTGATAAGCACAAGTGATACTTTCCATAATTTAATTTACACAAATATTTACTAATTTTTATTGTAGAATTTCATAAAGATTCATTTCTTAAAAAAAAGAAACCTGGATTTATAAAGAACATAAGAACTATATAGAAGGAATATGATATGAAGATGTGAATACTTTGCATTCTTTAATTTACACAAAATTTACTAATTTTTATTGTAAAGTTTCATGAAGATTCATTTCCTAAAAAAGAAACCTGGATTTATAAAGAACATAAGACTTATGTAGAAAGAATATGATATGCATAAATACTGATACTTTTCATTCTTTAATTTACACAAAATTTATTAGATTTTATTGTAAAGTTTCATAAAGATTCATTTCTTAAAAAAGAAACCTGGATTTATAAAGAACATAAGATCTATGTAGAAAGAATATGATATGTTGATACTTTCCATTCTTTAATTTACACAAAATCTACTAAGTTAACTACTAATTTTTTATTATAAAGTTCCAAATGAAGATATTCCTTAAAACATTCAACTATACTGCATTACAAAATAACCTATTTCAATTACCGTTTACAAGTTAAAAAATATATCATATTCCACCTGTATAGCTTTTCCATATATTCTTTCACATTCTTCCCTTTCAAGCACAAGCATCGGCATACTGCAATTGCAAAGCAAGAAGCACAAATGCACAGTTTTAATCTTTATTATCACTGACCGGTGATGGAGGCGGTCGGCGAAATGGCGGATGGATTGGCACGTGGCGGCGGCGAGAAAGCACCAGAGAGATATCCACCGCGGTCGGCGAGCGCTTGTTTCGCCTTGTCGACGCTCTCCTTGAGCCTCTGGAAGGTGCTACCGCAGGTGAGGCCGCGATACGGCCAATTCTCCTGTTTGACGCCGGCCGCGGTTACTCCTGCTGCCGCGGCCGCGGCTCCGGCTCCGGAGGCTCCTTTTAATTCGAGCGCACCTGCGTACGAACAGCTAGCGCTGTCGTACATCACCAAAGAGCCCCTGAAAAATCAACGAAACAACACTGCTTTTAATCGGTTCCGCACGATTCGTGAATGTTACGATGAAAAGTCTTTAAACTTGTAACCTTGCGCCTTCTTTAATCCTATCGATGCTTTGTTATACGATCGTTCGAGGTTATGTTAGGTTAGCTTAGGTTAAGTGCACGATTTGTGATTGTTCATTCGTTTATTTTGGCACTTGTATGAAAACAATCGCCACGTTAGAAGTGGCAAATTGATAAATCCTAAAAACAATAAGATGATTTTGAAGAAGCGTGAATGTAAAATAAAAGTAACACAAATCAAAAAAGAAAAAACTAACCTTCGTTCCTATAACGTCAAAATAGAAGCACTAATTCTTGTTGAAAAAGTAACTGGTTAAAAATAAAGTTACTTCGACTAATTAATCAAGTAATTTTGCGTTTAAAATGCTTGAATAACATTATTATTTGTAGCCATTACACTTGATCCATTCTTCGTATAACCTAACCGTTTGGCAGTAGAGTTATTCGCGGTTATTCGATACCTCGAATAATAAATTATTCAAGTAACTCGTTGAAGTAACTTTATTTTTACCTTCAATTATTAAAATTTTGCCCACCTCTGAGATACATCTCCTGTATAAACTCTTCTAATTTGTCGGTGTATCACAAAGGGAAAGAAACAGAATTCATAGACAACAAACAAGTGTTAACGCAGTACGAACTACTACAACTCTTTACTCGAGTATTATAGTAGGCAGCGTCGTTAAGGATCATTAAAAGGACGCTCGAAGCATCCGGTAAAGTCACGATCGAATTAAATCGAATAAATACCAAGTATTCAAGAAAATTTTATTTCTCTTACAAACGAAAAGATCGTCGTAAAAAATTTTATTTTTCGCAACGTAAAAAATACATAATCTCTTTCTTCGATTTATTATTAATCGAATCGAACACGAGGAAACACGTTCTTCGGTTAATGATGATCGTTCCGTTCTCGATTGTGCGAATTATCACGAGTCATTATTGATAATTCACACAAGGAGAAAGGTGTCTGTTAATTGATTGTACAGATCGTTACCTAAATCCTATTATCCATCATCTATCCATTACGGATTATCTCGAATCGTGACACTGACGTTTCGAACATAAACAATATCTCGATCAATTAATCAATCAACGTATCCTAATCCTAATTAAGAAGGATACAATTTTTTTGATGATACACGTTCTAAACAATAATACGTTTTTTTTCACAATATTGGACAATTTTAATTCCGTCGCAATATCAAATCGACGATTTTTGAGAATCTTAAAATAAAACTCGATATTTTATTTTCAAAACCAAAAAAATTTTCAAAACCCAAATTTTCAAAACAAAAAAAAAAAGAAAAAATACATTTCAACAAATGGATTTCATAGTCTCCAGGAAAATTTCAGAATCCAATGGCAGAAGAGATAACCGCGAACGAACAGCTAACTGGAGGTAGATTACGTGCACGTAACGAGCGGGAACTCGTAATCGATCTAGTCGTAATTTAGAGAGGAGCAGACGGGTATTGCGAGGCATCCATAGACCAATCTACATTTTATCGACGAGACTTCCAACTTATCATCTTACATCGGAATTCCGAAAGTGATAGCACGATGACATTTGCATCGTGTTATCGTCACGAACTCTACAATCTTTTCTTCCTTTTATTCCTAATTAATCGAACGAAAAGTAAAAAAAGAAAAGAAAAAAAAAGAAAAAAAAGAAACGAATAACGTTTACGAGTTAAAAGTTTAAAAGTTATTTCTCCCTAAAAATTAAATTTGTCTTTCTCGATTTCGATCGAAATTTTTGCTACTTTCTTCCGCGAATCATTCGTAAATTATTCGATTAACAGGAAACCAGAGGAAAAAAAGTTTACCTGGTGTCGTTACGACGATGTCCACGATAAAACGCAAGCTGCACGCCGTACACGCTGACCATCGATCGTTTCCTCGATAAAACAGAAAAAATATAAATATTTCTTCTTCCAACGAATGAAGATTTCTTGGAGATCTAATCAGGTTTGGCACGAACCATAGTTCTTTTTATAGATACGTTGAAATTATCGAAAACGGTAAATTCACTGAAAAGCAGCGAAAACACTTCGGAACTGAACGCACTGAGCGCGGATGTCCACTATGTATCGAGGTCAATTTAATCACGTTCACAAAACTGTCACATAATCACGGTGCACCTCCGGCGGTTCGCAAGTATACGGTTTCCGCGTCCCGTTCAGCTAGTCCTGAATAGTAGATAATTGATGCCACCACGATTCGTACGATCTTCCTGTATTCGATATTATCCTTCTATATTAAATCGCGAAATTGTTTTTACATCGATCCAACAAAATCCATTAATATTCCAATAATGATATAGTAGCCCGGGCTAACAACATTGAAACTTAATCCTCGAATAAGGATCCGTAAACAGAAATTCTCTTATGCCGATTGATTTACGAATCGATATCTTTTCGAAATCCTTTCGAACCAATATTTCGATATAAATATTGTGCATACATACGTATATTCTCCTTGTATTTATCGACTTCTAACCGTTTATCTTCTCACAATCTTTCCACCTCTTATCGGGATTACACTAATTTCTTCCACTTTTACCTTGTACGTACACTTTGCGTTCCAACGAAAGAAACTTGACACGAGACGCGCGACAAAGCGCCATTTTTATTTTCCAACAACGCAAAATTTCACTGAGGCATCGATACAAACAATGGATCGATCAATCGAAGATTTCGAGAAGACTCGGATTGGCGGGATAACGATAGGTATGGCGCGTGCGCAGTTTGGGCTGATCCGTTGTCACACGGAATTCGTCGGATATCGGCTGGTGAAGAGGCTGGACCTGATATCAAGAAGAAGGTACTCCGGGCAGGTTGTCTCGCGCAACTGCGGCCGCCGCGGCCAGCAAATTGCCTGCTTCCGGGCCTCATTACATCACTCTGTTACTCTGTTAACGCTCGCCGGAAACCCCTCTGCCTACCTCGTCTAAACTCTCTCTCGCATGTACCTACACACACTATTTAAATGCACTGTGTCGCGGACGACGCGGCCGCGCGTACTTCCAATACGAAAGAGGAAGAAAACGATACATGCGTTTACCTTGCTGTATTTTCTTGTCGATTTTACCGTGGATTGTTAAGACTCTGTATTGAAATTTGATTCTGTGTTGAAAGAAGTTTCTCGTGTATATTATTATATTCTTACGATGATGTTGATCCTTCGTTTTGAGTGAAATATTCTTGTAATAAAGAGGCAATTGCATGATAATTGCTTGTTTACGATAACTGAAGATTCATACGTAATGACTCATTATTGTTAAAATCTAAATTCATTTTTAAGAAGAAGAAAAGAAAAGAATATTAAAATTCTAATGATATTTATATAGAGTGAATATTCTAATGAAACTTGAATGATAATTTATTCGCATTTATTTTATTGGATTTCTTTCAAAAAGAAATACTAGAATTTTGAATATAATTTTGCAGGTAAAAATCTATAAATAAAATAAATGTTAAATGATGATTTTTCTTCGTTTCTAGATTATTATAGACTGAAGAAATGAAAAAGAAATATAGCATGACACAATTTTATAATGATTCTTCATGAATTCTTAAATAGAATATTTTCATCAGAATTAAATTTGTTACAAAATTGTGGTAAAATTTTTTTTCAATTAACAATATAATTTTATATATAAAGAAAAAAGGAAGAAAAATCGATCATTCTAATAAACATTCTAAATTAATCAAAAAATTAAATTTTATCAATATTAAATATACATATTTAAACATATCGATTCGATAAATCGTATCCCGATATTTTTCTTCAAATATGCAAAATATACGAAGCTCAAGGAGCAATGAAGTTTTTCAAATGCAAGGCATAAGAAATACTAGTAGATCGATAAAAAAACTGGAACGACTTCCATGATCACGATCCCATGCTTAATACATGACAAAGTTCATCGAAGCAAAAAAAAAAAAAGAGACAGCGAGCAAAACATGGATATTACCTGAACGAGGCGCTCTTCCTCTAAAAAGAGGAATCTCTTAACGACAAAAATAGAGGCGGACGATATAACCGGTAGAATAACAGTCTCGCGGAAAAAAGAGGGAAAAGAAAAAAAAACAAGAGCACCGATTTAAAAAAGATCCAAGAGCACATTTTAAATTTCTCTCTCTCAAACAAAAGAAAGAAAGAAAGAAAGAAAGAAAGAAAAAAAAGCATTAGAAATAAATAATAAATAATCGAGTCGAAAATAGACGATGGAATTTCAATTGCGATATTAATGTAATTGAAAAGGAAGAGAGAGAGAGAGAGAGAGAGAGAGAGAGAGAGAGAGAGAGAGAGAGAGAGAAAGGAGCAGAGCATGGTATGTAAAATTTACGAGGCGTTAAAAAAATGAACAACAACGACTTTAGAATGCGAGGCAATAAAAGAGATGGCAGGAAAAATTGCGGGCGGTAATTTAGCGTTGAAGATACATGCAGGACCGGTTAATACGCGAAACATGCGTGGGGACAGGTGAGGCCGGTGTTTCATAAGGGTGCACACGGTGTATATCATAAACCGCTAAAAAAAAAAAAAAAAAAAAAAAAAAANAAAAAAAAAAAAAAAAAAAAAAACCGTGAGAAAGAAAGCGGAATAATAACCGTGTCGATTTTTATTCGCCGGTTATCGGAAATTCGGCCACGAGGCGATGAATGTTCGGATAGTTTCACTACTGTACGCCACTAAATTATTGTGGTTATTTTTCAGAGATAGTGGGAAAACGGTGTTACATCCCAACTTGTTTTTATGGTGATAAAGACAGAGTGTTTTGTATAAATCTTATTAACTATTTTTATACTTATGTGTAATGTAATAATTGATGTATCTATCTTGCAGTTATTTTTATTAAAAACTCATTAATTCAAAGAGATAGGAGATTATCCTATATTAGAAAGTTAGATTTATAACATGTCGGTTGTCTCGTTGTTATTTAAATTTGTTTTCTTTTTCTTTTCTTTTTTTTTTTTTAATAATATCATAACAAGAAATAGGAATTTATCTATCTACTTAATATAATATAATAGCAAGTCAAAGAAAGTTGAATTTTAGATCCATTATAATAAAATCATCGACTTTTATACTATTAAGATTTTTATTTTAATTATACCAGTTGAATAGAAATTCTTGTTTATCGTATTATTTACCATTCTTCTATAATCATAGTTTAATTATAAAACAAAAGAAATAAAACGTTTCATTAACTTTCTAAGCTATTAAAATTCTTCTTGGAAACATAATATTTAAACTTTTGTTTATGACATTATTATTTACTAGAATATTACCATTGGTCTTTAACCACAAACAAGTTAAATCTTGAGCCATCAATCCCCAATATCTCTCAAAAATCGAAAAACCTCATCTTCGCCAAAACTTCATATATATATATACCATCCAGTTTCCAAAACTCACCGTCAATGCGGGGTCCTGCGTATAATCTTATCCACCGCTATCAGATCCAGTTCGCCGTTCGCTCCCTTTAACTATCAGCCCGAACCTTCACCTTCTCACTTCCAACGCGAATTTAAACGATACAATCCAACGCGATATATACAAATATATACAAATATATATATATACATATATATTTTTCAAACCTCGCCTTCCTTCGAACTTCAAACTTGAAAACAAAACCAAGAAACGTGAACACCAAGATTCGATAAGAATAAAATCCAAAAAACGATAGACCAGGAAACAGGTCTCTCGCCAGTGTGTAACCGGCGTACGATGGCCGATCGCCGGCTGCACGAGCGGATTACAGCCCCGGAGTACGTAACGAGGCTGCGAGGAACGCGTGGACCACCGTGGCGAACTCGGCCGCGATGCGACGGACGCACATTTGGCAGCGTCGTTATCAGTCGCGGTCCGACGATTGGCTGTGTATCGGAGCCTGCGCCGGGACGCCGAGAGAGAGGGTGGAGATGGCGGTGGAGGAGGTAGGAGGGTTGGTTGCTAACCCCCTCGTGCCGGGCTCTAGGCATGAAGCGGCTCCTTAGAGGCGGGATCATCCACCAGGGTGGATCTTTCCTCTCCCTTCCTGCCTGTCACTCCCTCTCCCCTCTCTCTCTCTCTCTCTCTCTCTCTCTCTCTCTCTCTCTCTCTCTCTCTCTCTCTGTTCGTCCGACCCGTTTCCACTAGGGCGTTTTTCCTTCATCTTTGTCTTTCCACTGTAATTCCTATGTGTTATTATCTTGGTCGCGGCTTCGTCAGGGGCTCGATTTCACTTTTTCCATCGTTTTCGCGTGTATCCTTCCTTTCCCCCTTCTTTTTCGTTTCGTTGGATTTAACGTGCTCATTGGGGTGACCGATCTCTCTCGTAGGGGGATGGGATGTAGAATTTCTACGTCTTTGAAGCTGTTGCGTTTTTCTTCTTTTCTTCTTTCTTTTCTTTTTTTTTTTTTTTTCTTCGACATCTTTGGAAGAATCTTTTGTTTTTATTCTCGTTCGTTGCAAGAGTTCGTTGTTTGTATCATAATAATTAATCGTATTTGCGATTTTATGCGACAAAGATAAGATAATTTCGTTATGCGTTGTGAATATCTTATATCTAAAAAAAAAAAAGTAAAGAACGATTAGCAATCATTCAAGATTGATCTTTACGATAATTATACGATATTAAGCATGATTGTACAAAAAAGTTAACAATATTCCACAGGAAGATAATTAATTTTAATATTATGGTACGAGACCGTGTTATTGACCATGTGTACTCTGCCTTGATAAGTTTAATATGCAATATATAATAATATGCAATATAATGTGAACGATGAAGGTTTTCAAACGCAAAACAGGAATGGTAAGAAATGATGAAAACCGGACTTTCATAGTCACGATCCGTAGTTAATAATGTGATGAATATTTAAAACAAAGGCCGAGAACATAGTGGATGTTGAATGTTTTATAATAGTTTCTGAAAAAAGAAAAAGCGAATAATATTTCATTCTATAATATTTTATTTTATTTTTAATATCGTATATATATATTTTTCAATGATAAAATTGATTGAATTACCAATTTCACCGATAATTAAATTTCAATTGGAATCGTTAATTTCCGTATTCCTGGACAGAAAGACTTCGGACGAAAATAGGACGAAAATTGTTGCATACGAAACATCAAGCTCCAAGTCTGGCATGTATTTGGCAAGTTTGGTCAACGGGACTTTGGCATAGATTCAAGATGATGGGAACGCTTGAGCTTTCAATTGTACCATAATGGGATTTTAAAATAATCCAATAGACCACTGATTCACCAGACTTTATCCCTTTAATTCTTTCTTCTCCTTCCTCTGAAAATAAACGTGAAAAGGAACGTTTACTTGTTTCCTGATTTACTAAACTTTGTTTCATTAAAAATGATATTGAAATGCATATTTTTCTCACCTACGTTATCACCGATGGGCAAAAATAAATGATATTTCGACCAGTTAATAACATTCCCAGGACATCATAGATTTGATTAATATATCAATATTATCTTGCGATCTTTATGCAAGGTCATAGCGCGTGTGTTCCAGCCCGCCCAACGGGTATCTGCTTGCACGAAAATTATCTGATCCACAGCGTGCAGTAACAACGGGGGCGCGACAGATCGGACACGTGACCAGTGCACGGTTTTCAAAGGGTGCTAGCGGCTAGCCGGTATGCACATGTATTGCCGATAACGATATATCGTTATCGTCATATTCGTTAACCGTTCTGATCGTGGCGAATTCGCGTGTCATTGATACTCGGTTTTCGAGATCATATTACCGCTACCCAGGATCGTATCCAGAGCCTCCATTGTTCCCAGTTATTCATCGTGTTCGGGGGCAACTTTATCAGATTTTACATACAACTTTTCATGTACGTTTTCTGAAAAATAAAAAGATCAATATTTGAGGTTAAAATTAAAGAATCCAATTGTTTCAAATTTAAATTTTAATTGTACAATGATTTAATGATCAGTTTCTTTTTCCAAATTAATACTTGCGTGTCTTCTTGAAAAAAAGGATTCGGGGATAAGATTTTCCAATCTTCTTCATTACTTTACTTACTTTCCTGTTTATCTCGAACGAATTCAATAGTCGCAATTAAGAGGGAGGCGGGAGGAGTCTGACAGCAAGCGTACCGATTGTACCATCTGCGTGGAAGCGATTGACGATCGTCGCGGCCGGAAGTAGCACGGATCCACCGTGGTTCAGACATGGAAACGCACTCTCTTGATCGGGATACAAAAGGTTCGATGTTTCTCGCACGATTGACACTGTTCCTTGCTCGACGATCGAAGGCTTCACGCATGAACGACGAGCCATGGGTAGACATGGCTCGTGATTTCCACCGGAAACGAACCGGCCGAGGGGGATGGATCGTCGGAACCGGGGGAGAACTAGTTGACCCGAGACCGGTCCTTAACGTTGATCGCTTTAATCGATTATTCACAAAGTGATAGTTGAACGGGGAGATCTTCTTTTCCCTTTATTTCCCGGAAAAAAAAGGAAAAACGAGATTAGAGAGAATATGTATGGCACCGGAAATAAATTTAATGTTACGAAAATTATTGATAGAATTCATGAAACACTTTGCTCTACTCGTGTGCATACGTATATATTATTAAAATTATAGAATTCATGAAACACTTTCGTGATATACGTATACGTATACACAAAATTATTTATTTATAAAGCACTATTAGTAATATTAATTAGTATTAGTAATAGTTATAATTACTATTAGTATTAGTAATAATCAATATCTCTACTCACTTTGTATAATTAAATTTGTATAATTTGTATAATTAAATTAATTGCATCCACATCAATTCCTGCATATCCTTATAAAAGTCAAATTTCAAAATTCAAATCATATTATAAAATTTAACCAAATATTTCAAAAATGGAAATATTTTCCTTGCAATGGAATTTCCCCAAAATACTCAAAATAGAGTCTTCCTCTTGAAGGCAGATAATAAGAGAGAATAATCAGTGCGGCTTGAAAATGTTTATCTCCTTCTCTCTCCTTCTCTCTCTTTCTCTCTCTGAATCAGGATGATCCGTATTGTTGTCGGTAATCACGAACATAGTGGCCGAATATAGTGGATAGAGGCCGAAAACGAGTCTATCGGCATTTAGCCGGGTTTCGTGAATGTAAACTAGGCGTTTCCTGCACGTATCGTACAAAGTGCTCGATTCGCTGGTCTTTTTTCACCAGGCCGATCGATAATGCCATTGCAAACACCCTGTATGTGCTCGGTTAATGTTAATGGCAGGGGCTGGCTCGGGTGAACGGTGTGGGTTGCCCCTTTGCCCGTGAGTTAGAGCTTCCTGAGGCTTTCCCCGCATCCACCGAACCACCCTCGCCTGCTCGAGGCCCGTGCTTGGCTAATGGTAACGCCAGGAAATATCAAAAGTCGTCTCCGTTACCATACTTTTTAGTTTTCCCCCGTCCCTTTCTTCCCTTTTCTCTCATACAAGAGATATATAAGTCCTTGTACATCCAGCTTTTTTCATTACTTGTAACTCTCCTTTCTTTCCTTCTCTTCCTCTTCCTTCTTTTTTCATTGTTTGATAAATAGATTCTTATCAGGGATCAGAATAAAGGGTTGTTGAAGAGGTCTTGAAAGAACTTTGAAGAATTGAAAAAAGAGTAGTTACGTTTGTTACTGAAAAAAAAAAATGTTGAAACGTTGTTAATGATTTATTTCTTTTTGAATTTATAAGAATATTTATATTCTTATATTCTATATCTTTATATTCCATTAATTCTTGTTTGTATAGGAGAAAATAATAGATTATCAATATTATTGATAATATTTCTATAGTCAATTTTTATATTCTTATATTCAATGTTAGGAACATAAATTTATTTTTATTTAAGATTATTAATTTTAATTAAGATTAATTAAGATAATTTAAGGTTGATTTTTGACGGTTTCATAAGAAATATAACAGAAGTAACGATTGTTTGAATATTTTTATCCAAATATGAAAGGAATTTTTATGAGAGGAATTAGTTACCGTAAAAAATTTCCTGGTTTCCCTGTTCATTGTTCTTTTGGTTCGTTTTCATCGAGTTAACCGCGAGACCAGAAAGTAATATATTAAAACAACCTTGATCTACAACGATACCGAGCAGCGGTTAACGCGGTTATCATCGGTAACACGATCGTTGAAATGATAAAAAATGTATCTAACTCGGGAGAACAAATGTAATCACTGCTTGTCACGAACACAATGCATTCAACAGGTTAGTGCTGCATATTAAAAAGAGTTTATTCGCATGCTTATAAATCCACCTCGACATTCCGGAGAAAGATTTCTCTCAGTTTCGCAAAAAATTCTCCATTCCGTTAAAAAATCTGGAAAAAAGAGAAAATTGCAAAAAATGACCAAGTTTCGTCACTGTTGCTATATAAAGAAATATTTATAAATTAAATTTTAAAAGTTTTATTTCGTTTAAATCGTTTTTTAAACTTGCATCGATCTAAGATAATAAGTTATGATATAGATTACAAGTTTTCAACTTATATTTGAATAATAAATTTTATTTTAATTTAAAATTAAAAAATTATACCAACCAATCAAAATATTTAAGTACTAAGTCTTAATCGAAAAGTTTAATCTCGCTTCTATCTCTAGAATTTTTATCATACACATTTACATTATATATTATTGAAATAAAAACTCCAATAAAAGAATCACGAGTTTAAACAATGGCATCAATCCATTTTATTCTAATCGTGAACAATCATGATCTATAACTGAATATACAATCCTTTAATTGGAAACAATAGTTTGACGAGGATAGAAATTCAGAGCGTTGAAAAGGCGTATATAATCGCGGCACGCTTCGGCCGCGCGCAGATTTCACCCGAGGGAATTGTCGATATCGTGTGATTTAATTTGTTACAATTAGGGCAAAGGGTCCCTTAGGTGGGACAGTGCCCGTCCAAAAGAGAGAAAGAGAACAAGAGAGAATGTGACAGACAAAGGGAGTTCACCGCGCCCTGCTATTAATATCAGTTAACGACCTGATATGATCGCTCGTCTATACTCGCAGACAAGCTGCCATCGGTGGGTTCGAGTTTATGGGTTAGGACCATATGCTCGAATCATTTCGATCACAATTCACACTCTAATAGATCCACTGAGTCACCGATTAGAATTCATTCTGAGTTTTTTAGTTAAATCAATCTGAAATTGATCAGGATAGAGAACCATTTGGAGAAGAATAAAGTGGTTTGATTTTTGATTGGTTAAGACAATCTATTAATCGTTTTGATAGGATTTACCTGAATGTGTAATAAATGTAATAAAAACAAAACTTGGATCATTTTATTCCTATAGAATAGATTGAAGAATGAGATTATTCATTAATTTCAAAATAATGACATTAACATTTTTTAAGAATGTAAATAAGAATGTATAGTTACATCTTTTCAACAAAAATTGTTCCTCTTATGTATTGTTCTTTTTATTATGGATCGTTAAATGAATTTAAATATTTTCATTGTAATAATCTGATGTGAATAATCACACATTAAACATAAAAACACAACAAATTTTCAAATTATTTCACAAATTATTTCAAAGATCCATGCCAACTATTAAACCTAACCTATGATTAGATAAATTCTTAAAATCGAATTTCATATCTTCACATATTACATAATGCTATATTTCATCTCCTATTTATGAAGAATTTTGTTTACACATATAAAATTCAATTAATTGTCACTATTTCTTTTATATAAATCATTTATCTTCGTTCAAAATATTGCCACAAACGTAACATAATATTCTTTATCTAAGCTAACTCGAAGCTAACTCGAAGTCTATATCGAAGACGGAATCGAGAGTTCGCTGTCAAACACCATGGATATAGGAAAAGCGGCGTCGGGTGCACGTAGAGAGAACGACCGATAACAATAGACAGGGACCGTGGTCTATCTAGCAGGCATCCGGGCCAACGTCGAAACGAGGCTGGTGCCGCGCGCGGATTACCATAAGCATTCATATATGCAGCCTCGCATTATACTTGCATACCCGGCATAAAGGTGGCCGTGTCGACGCTCGTATTGGACAGCGGCCGCAGGTATATGTATTGCAACGGCTGGCCGGCCGGTCGGTCGGCTACTTACTTACGTGTACCGGACCGCCTTCACGAGTCGCTGGCACGCGAGCCTGATTGACTTGTAGATGAGGCGACACAGTCGATATACGCCAAGAGTCGACTCTGAAACTCCCGTCATGGCTACCGATGCCCGTGCAATTCTGGTTCCCCTTCTCCTTTGGTTTGTGTGTATTGTTGGAACCCAGCGAAGGATATGTGTGTATACATATGCATATGTACATATATCAGTTATATTTTATAATGTGCATAATCTCTTAACTACAAATTAAATTTTAATTGTTTAATTGTTTGTTTGTTTTTTTTTAAATGTGATTGGAAATAGTGTATAAATTGTACCATACATCGATTGTTCGATTGACAGTAGAAAAGTAATTATTGAAATTATTTATTTATATACATATAAAAATACATACAAATATTAATTTGCTAGTTCAAATTTTACTTCGATCAAAATATATTCTTAAGATTTGACAAAAATAACATACTTTTCAATACAAAGAGGTTAGGTTAAATTTGGAAGCATCTACATGTAACAAATATGAACATAATTCGTGGTAAGAATAGAATATGTTAAGTTAGATTTAAAAATAAATATTAAGTTTGTAATATAAATGAAGTGCAGATGATTTGAAATTGAAATGATAAAATAACTATATATCATAAAAGATTTTATTATATATATATGATATAATATGAATTTGTTTGATATACTTATTTGTATGAATTCATCTCATATTGATATTTATCATTTATCTAGTAAAATATGCAAACAAATTTGATACAAGTGGTATCATCATTGAAAAATGAAATGATAACGAATAGAAATCAAAATTCTCAAAACATATTATGATTTTGGAAGCATCTATTTGATTTTTCAATTGAAAAAATTGAGTTTCAATTGAGTTAAGTATTTTCATTTATATTTTATGGCTTTAAAGTTGAAAAAAGTTATAAAAGTTATAGATATAAGTTACTTTTACTAATATTAATCAATGATTAAATTAATCTTATATAAAAATTTCAGGGAAAAATTTTATTGAAATATCGAAAATGTTTCTTTTTTACCACCAATCTTCTTGAGATCATCGTTAGTCATTTTTTGCAAGGTAGTCACATACCCCCACGAGATTTTCCCGTCTCTCTCTTCAACTCTCCCCTACTAGACCTTCTTTTTCAAACGTTCCCTCGCAGCCACCGACCGTTATCTAGTTAATTAATCTCCGCCGACGGCGGTAGTCGACTAGCAGGGCGGCAAAACTCCCACCATTTCTGCAATCGTAACGAGCCACGACAACGAAAGTGTCGAGCACCATCCCCTTCATTCACCCCAGATTTGCAACTGTCCCCACTTTCGAACTATAAAATTTTAATCACTGTAAAAGAACTCTGATCAAATTTATCGAAAAGATAATTGAAAACCAAGAAGTTGGGATACAATTTTAAAAATAAAAATATTAAATTTACAAGGAAAACCAGGATGAAAATGAAATAATTACTTTGAATAATATTTCTCTTAGTTTCAAATTAAAAATTATTATATTACATATACTTCATATTATTTCCAAATACAATAATTACAAAAATATAATTTGACTTATAGTATCTATAATTTACAAGCAATCGTAAAAGATAGAAATTTCATCGACGAAATCTCGTTATTTTAGAAAGCACTCCAAGGATTAATCCTACATTTGCGAACATCATTCCTCAAAATTCCCTGGAATCCCACTGTAAGTTAAACCCTCTCGGTTCACCTCGACCGCAGAACACCAGTGGCGACATCATTTTCATCCCGCAAGCTACTATTCACTCAACCCAGGTAAAACCATCACGAAATCACCATCACGAAAAGACTTAACCCTCGATAACTACCTACCACCGGCCGAATTTACCGAATGAATTCATCGAATCTGTTTCAGTTACCCGGCGGAATAAATTCATCGATCGGTCCCCCGTTCGCAGCTCGGCCCAACACCGAGTCTACCGGCTGAGCGGACAGATGTCCTAGGTCGACGTTGCGACGCGTGCGGGGTGGCTCGTGGCGTGGTGCTCGGTGGCGTGGTACGGTACGCACGGTGCGCCCCCTGATGCGGGGTGGGCAAGTATTGATTGGGTCGGCGCGTTGGTCGCGACGTCCGTGTCCAGAGTGCAAGAAGAGAGGGTGGCGGAATCGGCAGGCGCCATCACGCGGGGCCACCGCGACCGTCGTCTGAAGGGCCGTCCAGCCAGTGGCCGCGATCTCGATTCACCGAAAAGATGGTCATGATGGCTGGCATGGACGACCACGAGCGAAAAGTCGTCGCCGAGTTCTGCCACCTGCTCGAGAAGAGCAAGCAGCTGTTCAACGGGCTACGGGATCTGCCACAGTACGGGCACAAGCAGTGGCAGGGCTACTTCGGGCGCACCTTTGACATCTACACGAAGTTGTGGAAGTTTCAACAGCAGCACAGGTGAGTGAGATAAAGAAAAAAAAAAAGAGGAAAGGAAAAGGATAAAGATAGAGGTGAACGAAGAGAGGGGAAAGAAAGGAAATAAGAAGAAGGGTATCGCGTGCATCATCGTGTCGAGTATATACCGGAGGGTCACACGGTGAGTCATCGTTGGACAAGGGTGGCCGCTGGCGTGGCCGAAGCCATCGATCACACGCGCACCGTCCTCCACGCCACGAGGTCCTTTAAAGCGATCCGCGACTCCGTCAGGATAACAGCGAGTATAGACTGTGCTCTCTCGGTGTTCTCTCGATCTCGTCCGGAAAGGGCCGAACAGGTCGCGAGCCCGCGAGCGCGGACGGACAAGCGTGCACCTACGTGTAGGTGGAAAACGTAATAGTAGTCGTCACAGGGGAATATAACGGGATCGGTTGTGACACCGTTCACGAAGTACCACGATTTACCTACGCACTCGGCCCAACCATGTGACGTGAGCGTGAATGGAGAGAATCGTGCGCGCGAGTGAACACGGTCACGCGTGTGCGTATAGTAGTATATGCCTACGTACCGTTACGCTTACGTACTCTGATCTTCACGCAGATATCTCTTGGGGATAGGAGTATTTTTCATGGATTGTTAAATATTTTGCGGATTGAGAACAAGGTCATGTTACGTTTTTATCAATTATTTTTAATCAATTTTATATATAGCGTAGTATTAATAATTTAATATTTTGTTTTATTTTTAACAGATTGATTTGTAGAGGATTGATATCTTGATACGTTGTTGACATATTATTTGTGTTTGTACACGCATTAATTTATAAAACTATTTATACAATTTTGTTATTATAGAATTGTTCTTTGGTTTTATTTTTTTTTTTTAGCGTTAAATTTTTTAAAAAGAAGAATGTTTATTGTATTTTCTTTTATCGTTATCTAAGTTTTCATTCAAGGTTTCTGTGAATTTTGAATTTCGAACAAGATTTCTCGAGTAGTTAGAAAAAAATGTGGTTCATGGTTATTTGGCAAATTAAGCACTTTATGAATTGGAGAATCGATTTCAGAGATCAGATATGATTGTATAAGTTTGGTGTGACCTATTCCGAATCTATTTAATGCTATTTGTAGATTTAAAATATATTTTGCAGATTCGCATCGTATCACATTGTTTTAAAATAATTTATTGATTCGAATATCCTTTTGAAAAAGTTAAAAATCGGAGAAATAAATTCAAGAATTCAAGATGTTTTATAATCCATGGCATTTATTTTTTTTAATTTATTTTAAAATAACTGCCTTCATTCAATTTGATTTCTGTACATGTTTAAACTCGCGCAATATCCATTTCTTCACTTTCTTTGCTCTTTCTATTTATGTCAAGTGACTAGTGAACAATTATAGAATACCTTAGACTCCTTTGAAACACGGTCTCCTTTATCGTTTGTCGTGGATTATATTCAATAATCTCTATTAAAATTTTATCATCTTGATGGCATCTTTTGACATCTTTTCTCTTGATTTATTCTTCAATGAAAAATCATCAGTCTTAAATTCTACGAGAATAATACGAAATGTAACATTATTTTCTTTTTAAATCATTTAATATATATATATATATATAAAAATTCGTTAATATTTAAAATTTTCCTTACTTTACACGAAGAAACGCAAATTATTTAAAAATTATTAAAAATCGTGAAAAATTAATCCAAGGGATATAACTCGACTCACCTGGCAAAATTTGTTTCCCACTCGAATCTTATTCCACACACACACACACTTTGCTCACACGTCTTTATTTACTCTTTCGATTCTCCGGTTGCACCGGATGCCCGGTAATCTTCGGCCCTTTGTCCCTTTCCCTTTTGATCGTAAAGTGTCATCAAGTTGGGCCGGCTGGACTGATGGTGCGACTCGACAAAGAGTCAATTGTCTATCCGGCTATTCACAACGCCTCGCGCGCGTATATACACACGTACGGTGTGTAGTACGTGCAATACGGTGTAACACGTGGATGCATAGTGTACATAGGTAGACACGCGATCGTGCCGCGTCAAATGTTAATAAATATCGGGGACGCTCTTTCAGGTTACTCATACAAAACAATAATGGAAAGTTTCTCGAAACTTGCGTGCGGCAGCCAGTTTCAAAAGTATCGCTGATCTGTGTTCCACGTTTCCTTTTTTTCCCTTTTCTTTTTTTTTCTTTTTTTCCATCGACGTATCCGTGGATATTCGTTTCGAAAGGAAGCATCGTTATCGCGCGACGAAAAAAGCTATAAAACGTAATAGCGTGATTAATACGATATTGTCGAGTGTTCGCCCAGCAGAGCAATAACCATAAAAGGCGCGCGTGACACCAACACGCGCGCTTGCACATATCGTTGTTCCAGGACGATACTCGACACGAAGTACGGCCTGAAGAGGTGGCAGATCGGCGAGATCGCGAGCAAGATCGGTCAACTCTACTACCACTATTACCTTCGCACCAGCGAGACCAGCTACCTTCACGAGGCCTACTCATTCTACGCGGCGATCCGAGGCCGCGCGTACTACAGCCGCGCTGCCAAGGAGGACAGAAGCGACCTGATGGTGAAGAAGCTCAGGTACTACGCCCGTTTCATCGTCGTCTGCCTGCTGTTGAACCGCATGAAGCTCGTCCGTGAACTGGTCCAAGAGCTCGACGCCCAGATCGCCGATTACACCAGCACCTACGAGCCCGAGGATCAACTCGAGTGGAACCTGGTTCTCGACGAGATCAAGGCGTTCGTGAAGGCCGAGTCGACCGTCGGAATGGTGCACTCGGACACGAATCCTGTTATACTTACCCACAGGCTGGGTCCACAGACCTCGCCCCCGATCGAACGTACGCCACCCATGTGCCTATCCCTGCAGGAGATCCTGATCGTTGGCAATTGCGCCGACCAGGTGAAGTTTAGTGAGTTGTCGATGGACATGTTCAGGATGCTTCAAACCCTGGAGAGGGAGCCGAGGGACGATCCTAATCACCTTCACGACGCGTCGCCGGCCGGCAGGATGCCGTTCAGGCCCGGGGCGTATCCGGGCGCGGAGAACGGGGCCCCGAGGCGGGACAATCCGCACAAGTACCTGTTGTACAAGCCGACCTACAGCCAGGTACAGGTATTCCTCGCGAGCGGCTTCAAGGAGCTGCCCGCTAACGGGGCGCTGTTGCTCTACTTGTCGGCGGACGGCTGCTTCTCCACCGTCAAGCATCCGGAAGAAAGTGAGTGTTCCCTTTGATACGGCGACCGATCACGCTTCCGCGAATATTTTAGAGCCTTGGCTGAGCCGTTCTTTCCGTTTTTGCTGCTCGCCACTTCGATGTCTTTCGAGAAATAGACGTAGGATAGGATATAATATATGTAATATATGTATAGGCTGTAGAGAGAGATGAGGCTTTCATCGGGTTGATTGTTGTTTGTTGCTTGTTGCTAACCTCAAAGATGAGGTTAATTTATTTAATGTTGTCGAATGTTTAATTTCGTATCGTATTGTAGGATTCTTTATGATTTCGTTGATATAAAAATTACTCGAATTAAAGGGCGTTTCTTTGTATTATTTTTTTGGTCTTGTAAAGTTTTGTCAAAATATACGTACGCGTGATGTCTGCAAAAATCCTCGCTTCACGACCTAAAAATCGCCACAACGAAACACTCGGCGTAAACTAGCAACCAGTTGATTGATCAAAGCATCGAATCCGCCTCTCGACAACGAAAATAGTTTTAAAAAGGCGATTGGTCTCCACTCGATCTCGTTGATCGGCCGAAAATTACTTATCACGATAGAGGGCAGTCGTTGATGCACGACGAAAGCAAATCACACGCTCGACCAAGCTGAAGGCAGACGCGTGTCGACATTTTCGGTCAGTTTCCTCGGCCGGTAATCTAGTTAGAATAAGCTTTCTACCGTTCTATCGGTATTGTCTACTCTTCTGACGATCCTTCAATGATAGAAATTTGTTTGATATCATATTTTTCCAATTTTTTTCCCAATGATTTTTACCTCGTCGAACATCTGCCGCGTCTCGAAACGAGCGTTATAACGATAAGTTTAAATCTCGCAATAACTATCCCATCGACACGGAAACGACCGTGAAAGGATAAGCCGTGTCGCAACGGTGTTATACAGTGGCTAGAACACCGAGTGTGGATCCGCTTTTAAGCGCGTGTCGCTAATTGGATCACACCGAGTCGGACCATCGCTTTCCTTCTATTCGTTCAAAGGCTTCCAGTGAGCATACGAGCCGCTCTCTTGGTTGATTTAGTCACTGAAAGGAACGCTCTTTTCGTTCGGCAGTACGAACAGTATTTGGATTATGTAAAGTCGAGCGCGGAAGACCGGAAAGTGTTTGATCGTAACCGATGATGGCGATGAGTTCCAAAGACATCGAGTGACGGTTCCAACTTTTTTTTTTTTTATAAATTTTTTTCTTCGAAATTATCGTAATTGGAAAAGATTGGATATTTATATTTTGATAAATAATAATGATTCGAAAGAAAATAAATAAATACAATTCGTAATTTCGTATACGGAGATTAGAATACGTATTGCTTTTCGTTAGTCAAAGCTAATAATTGGCTAGAATAGAAAGCTTATAGAATTAGAAGCTTGGATGAGTATTTTAAGTATTTAAAAATATTTTATAAAACTATTAACAATTCTACGAATTTAACAAACTGGCTCTTCCTAATTCATTGAGAATAATTGAATTATATCTAAAAATAACTTCCCTTCGTTAACACCTGGAAATATTGTTCATTGTTTCACGAAAAAAAATTCCACACAGGATCTTTTTCTTCTTAAAAATCAACATCTTTAATTGGATTCGCGAAAAGATCAGTAGAAGGTACCACAACTCGAGTGTAGCAGAAAGAACACACGCCACCTTCTCTCTCTCTCTCTCTCTCTCTTTCTTTCCTTGTCTTTAATTAGTGCCCATCCTCATGAAAGTTTTATGCGGATCGAAAGAAGACATCTCAAGAGTCGACTCGCGAGATGCACACGACCATGACCCTTTATAGCGGTGCCCGTTGAATTAACTAAATAGAAAATTCAGCTCGTTTGGATAGTTTCTTAATATTCCACACGCCTCTACCGTTCGACCGTTGACAAACCATCATCTTTCGATCTATATAATATAATCGTCATTCCGATTTAATTAACGATTCGTTTAACGTTTTAAATGACGAGAATTCGTTACGCAACGCTTTCGATGTCTTTTGTTGTATTATGTTGTGTGTATATTCGATATTTATCGATGTCGCATGTAGATAGACGTTCATATAAATATATATATATATATATATATATATATTGTCATGTGTATCGAGTGACCAAATCGGTGGTAAAAAAATTTTGATGGCGTATCATAAAAGTTTTATATCTTTCTGGCTAGTTTTTTCTTGATTGAAATAATGATTAATAATAAAAATAGTTCCTCTTTCTAGGAATTATTTATACGTTATTTGCATTTTGATAATCTTTTTTTTTATATCGCAAAAAAAGAGAAAGTATTAAGAGAAAAGTAAAAAGAAATATTTCGTAATATAATGTTTAGAAATCGAGATAGAAAAACTAACTCTGCAAATCCATAATCTTAACGTGACCCGTTTTCATCAAAATCAGGGAAACACGCTATCGAAACTTGGCCACCTACTATATTTGAGCGAATCGCTCTTTTCCACTCTATTTTGACTCGCAATTTCTATCCAATCATCGACCAATTTCTCTCTATCCCTATCTCTCTCTCTCTCTTTCCTCTTCTATAGCGCAATACTAAGTATATATACTCTAAGTATATATAACATCCACTAAATGTAACGCGTAAAGCGTCTCTAAAAGAGCGAAAGAAGAGAAAAGGAAGAAAAGGAAGTAGGAAGAAGAAACAAAAAATTGGACTCGAGACCGAAGGTCGACGATGTTGAAAAATTCAGCGAGCTGACCACCAAAGGAACGCTCGGAAGTCGCTATTCAGAGCGCGGTGGGGTTACCGCGCCGGCCGAGAAGGCGAAAACGGTCTTTCAACGAAAGTAGAGTAGCGCATCCGTGCCAAGGTCACTCCGCGGTAGAGATTCCAACCAGTCGGCCCGCTGGATTCTAAGTTTGCAATCAATATCGAAATACGTGGCGACGCGTCGATATCGAAGAAACCCCTCTGGCCATGTTTCTTCTCCCTGTTCCCCCTCCCTTTCCAGCAAATCTCTGCTTTTAGCCTTGTTAAAAAAAAAAAAAAAAAAAAGGGAGGAAGAAAGAAAGAAAAAAAAGAAAAGCTCATTTTTATATGAATCTGCTTTTAAAGATTAAAGTATTCATATATTCGTACGTATACGAGGAATTAAATTTGATGGAAGAAAGAGAAGAGAGAAAAATAGATTTGTTGATATTACGACTTGTTTATGTAGGTTAATTCTAGTGGAAAAGGAGAGCAATGGTCAGACGCGCGGGAAAATAGGCAGAGTTTAAATGCAGAATTGGCCCGTTCCGAAAAAGCGCGATACAAATTACAATGTCGTGATCTAGTCCGGGCGCAAATAAATCTTTCAAGGATAGAGAGAACGATTTTGGTAACGGTCCAATTTCGAGCGAGCCGCGGCGGTGTCTCGAAAAAAAGCGCCACGGTCCGACGATCTTCTCAACTCATTGTTGCTCGTTCGAAACGAAGCTCAAGCCGGCCGCGCGTGAACGGCCGATGCAACTGATCGCCGCTTTATTTATAGAAACGCCACCACGCGAGAACGAGCCTAAACATAACCTAAACGTCTCGCGCTTAAAAAGAAAATACTCGTTTAAATCGTCCGTGAAAAGTGTATTTTTCGAACGAAGAAGATTAATCTTCGTAATCTTCGTAATTCGATAATTCGGAAACGTTCAAATCTCTAAACAATTTTTAATAATCACGTTTCAAACTCTCCAATCGAAAGATTTCGAACTTTTAGAACGAATCTGCCCGAACGGAAATCTCTCAATTTGGAAATTCGAAACACGAGGATAGGTTTTTCTTTTAAGTGAAACCGCGCCACGAAACCTGAATCGCACGATGTTGATAAATCTTCCGATCTTGCAGTGGGGTACGACCTGGGTGGCGTTTCCACGTGCAGCAAGAGGGACCCGGAGCACGGGAAGAGGCCGACAGGTGGGAAGGAACCGCACTGCCTATATCCGGGTGACCTCTACCCGTTCACGAGGAAACCTCTGTTCGTGGTCGTCGACTCGGACAACAGCTTCGTATTCCAGCAGATACCCCGTTACTTCGGCCAGCCGCTGATGGTGCTGATGTCGCCTCAGGACACGCCGCCCACGTTACGCGACATTCGACACAGTGGCAGCCTGTTCACTCTATTTCTCCACGCCCCCCTAGCCGCGTTTTGCCTTATATGCAACATCGGCAATCTGGCCGTGCATCACTGGGAGCGGTGCCAGCGTTACATCGAGCGATTCCTCATCGAGGCCTGTCAGCTCGTCACGCACTCCAGATGCGGTAAGGATCCAGGACACGGTTGTTTTTGTTGCCTGACACGGCCTCTGTTCCACTTCTCTCTCTCTCTCTCTCTCTCTCTCTCTCTCTCTCTCTCTCTCTTTCTCTCTTTTTCTAGCCTCTGCCTGTCTTTCTCTTCTAATTGGATAGGTTAGGGGAATGGGTAGATCGGTGAAACTTTCTTGGCTCGGGCCTGGCTCTACATATTCGATCGTTCGACTTGGGCGAATGAGAATGTTGCTTTTACCAGTGATTTGCCAGAATGATTTTCGAATATTTAACTTTTTAATATGTCTCTTGTTTTACGATTATTGAAATTATTTTATATACAGAAATGTCAGTATATTCATCATATCATTTTATTTTAATTACAATCGTTTATAATCGTAAAATAGATACTTAGATATTTTTAACGTCAAAAAATTTTCGAATTTTGTTGACGATTGCATTGTCTTTTTGAAATTGAAGATGAATTGAAGATGAATTAAAATAATTGAAAGTAATTTTTCTCGTTTATTCTTTTTCTTCTTTTTTATTTTAAAATACTTAAGAACGGTGTGGCTCGCGATAATTCTCGCTGATGATCGAAAATCGTCTCGGTTCGTTCACCGATATCCAGAAACGCGGTGAAAGGGATTTACAATTGCGTTCGAACGATAAACAGAATTGGCCTAGATCCAACCCGTGTTTATCGCTGAACCGGCAATCTCGCCTCCTAGACGCGTGATCTAGGGTCGGCTACAAAGGGGCTCTCCATTGTTCCTCCAGCGACAGCGATATGTCGTGTGCGAGTTTTGAACGTACGAGTGGCTCCCTTTGTCCCCGTCTATCTCTTTCTCTCTGTAATAGCCGTTAAGCAAAGCTTTGCGCGGATACGTTTAATTCGCTTTCGCGGGGAAAGTTTCACCGAAATCGATCGAGCAAGCCATTCGGCTATCCAATCTATGGAGAGATAATTCGCTTCGAAACTTCGAAATAACAACTGGGTTCTCGAATAGTAACGCAACAACAGCAGCAACAGTAATACGCAAATTTGTCGGCCACGTCTCCGGAATCATCGCCCAGAATTTTTCGATTGGATCGCGGACGTCAGTGAGCGATTTTTCCGAAATTAATGGTGAATCTAACCACGAAAATGGCGGATCCTGTGATCCAATGATTAATAACAAATATAGGTAAAAATATAGGTAATATCTGAGAAAACAGATCGTAGATATAATTAGTTAATTTCAAGTTTCTACGAAATTATTCTTATCTGTTCGTACGAAAAACGAATTTCTCTAAACCGTATCATTATACGTATATTATTTGAAAAAAAAAAAAAAAAGAGAGAGGTTACGATGAAATGAAATTCCATTTTCTTTTCCACTCTTGAATTCAAATTCTTTTTACAAATTTTTTTTGACGATAAAAATTTGATTATTTTACCTAGTGAGAGAAAGAGAGAGAGAGAGAGAGAAGGGGGCTCGTTTTTCACGCGGATAAGACTTGGACGGCGTTGAATTTGGAGAATCGAAAAGATTCAGCCAAGGGAGAGAGATACCTTAGCGGGTTCCCTCTCCCCCCTCTATCTGGTACAAGGGTTATCAACGCTTACGTAATCCCAACGAGAAGTTTCTTAACCCTTCTTCTGCATCGAGGTCGAGAGATAAACTTATCGCGGACATTCCTGAAAAATCGCGAAAATTTATTTTACCGGGGCGCGAGAGTTTCGTAAAAATTTACGAAAGAGAGCACGAAAAAGAAAAAAAAAAAGAAAAGGAAGGATCAAGTCGACGAACTGACGTCCCCGATCGTGAAATCGAATCGCTCGAGCCGGGAAAAAGAGGGTCAAAATTTCGAAACGAAACGGAACGAACGAGCGTACAGAGTGTTCGAAAGGTGTCTGGTCCGTAAATCGATCTATTCTCTGAGAGGTTGTTTAATTTAAAATTTACACGATTTTATTTTATTCTCCCTCTTCTCTTTCTTCTTCTTCTTCTTCCTCCTCCTCCTTTCTCGAAATTTTAACGAATTTAACGGAGAGAGAAACGCCAAGAACCACCAATATAGAATATCTCATTTTTCGAAAAAAAAAAATTCCTCCACCTCGAAGAGCCTCAAAGAGTAATTTAATTTCCAAAAAAAAAAAAAAACCACCAACCCCAACCACCACCATCACTAACAAAACTCTCCAAAGCAAAGCAAAGAGGAAGAAAAAGAAGAGAGAAACGAAGAAAAAAAATTACGCAACCGCAACGGAGACACCTTTGCAATCGTCTGTACGTATACACACACATATGTCATAACGTCAAAAGAACAAAAAAAAAAAAAAAAAAAAGAAAAGAAAAAAAAGAGAAACCCCGAGATAAATAAAATCCTTAAGCGGAGATCTGACCGAGCGCTTTTACCGGTCCACGCAGAGACCAGCGTGTTGCAATTCTTCGGCGACGATTTCCTACGACTGTTGCTGGTGCGCTACGTGTTCTGCGACGTGGTGTTGAATCTGCACCGGTCGTTCAGGGGTCGGCAGCAGAGGCCCCGTTGCCATCCGCCGTTGCCCGACGCGGAGGTCCTCGAGCATCCCACCCTCCATCACCTGGTGCTCGACCTGGCCGCCTGCCTCGACTGCCGCGACCACTTTCCGGACAGCAACGAGCTCGCCTGACCCAGGCATCTCCCCTGCCCGGCACCCCACGAGTCCACGTCCCTGTTGCCGGCGTACACCCACGACTACGATTACGATTACTGTAACTATAATTGCAACAATAAAATCGTTACACTGAGACCTCATTAAACTGCGTCTAAACGAAGGAGAAAACAAGGGTGTTTAAATATATAACGATGATAAGGATAAGGATAAAAAGGTAAAAAAAAAAGGGGGAAAAGAAAGGGAAACGAGGAAGGAATATAGAGTATAAAGTAGGAACGCTAAATGGAAGAAATCACGTGTATCGTCGCTCGATAATATCGCGATGTATTCGTTGTGGATATCGTCGACGCCGTCTCAGGGTAACCCGGCGTCGTGATTTTTCATCGTCGTAAAGTCGTCCACTGTCGTTCGATGATTCGTCGATGATACGTCCGCGAGTTCACGCCGCGTCGGTCTTCCGATTCGCTCGTTGTTGTTGGTCCGGGTGAAGGTGAAAGAAAGACAATACGACGCCGGGTTGTAACGACGCGTTTATCTCTTTCCGTGGAGAGAGAACGCGTGGAAAAAAACGTAAACACAGAGGGAAGAGGAGGAGCAGGAGGAGGAGAACGAACGAACGAACGAACGAACGAACGAACGAACAAAGGGAATAAAAATTTCTCGTGAATTCGTGGTTCTCCTTTAAGACTCGTTCTTATGTTAATCGCGACATACCGCTGCCAGTTTTTTTGCTACGGACTAGTAAACGAAACACAAAAAAAAAAAACAAAGAAAAAGTCTATATATATATATATATATATAAATATACAAATATATATATATATAAAATGAATATGATATATTCTGTCACTGCGTCGATGGTAAAAAGAAAAAAAAAAGAAGAAAAAAGATAAAAAAGAACAAAAAGATGAATTAATTATTATTACGTATGAAAGAGAGAGGCATGTTGTGATTATCGGTACATGTATAGACGAAAGAAAGAGTGAATTTGTACGCACTGGTGCTTTGTACGATTTTAAGAAGCTTTTAGCGTGTCGTCGAATGATTCGGTTTCTTTTTCTTTTTTCGGTGTATTACGGGTTTCCGTTCGATTCTCGATTCGGATCGCAGGCCACGCATCCTTTCCACCCTTCTCTGTCTCTTAAAAAAAAAGATAAATAAATAAGAATAGAAATAACGATATGTAAAAAAAAGAGAAAAAAAATAGAAGAAAAACAGATTGAAAAGTTAAATCGCGGCAAATAATCGATCCTTTTTTTTTTTTTTTTTTTTTTTTTTTTTTTTTTTTTTTTTTGAATAAATAAATCTGCGGATCTATATTAGAACCGCAAATCAATGGCGTCTCGATGCCATCATGCACTTAAAAAACCTGTATTCGATACCCTTCACATAGTGACACATACATATACACGTACACACATACACGCGCGCGCGCGCGTTATATTTTGTTATACGAATGCGAGTCTCAGACTTTGCGATTCTATTTTCGTGATGTGTCCGCGAAGCGCGGATTTTCCAATTCTCTCTCTCTCTCTGTTCACCCTCAATCTCTCACCCACGCAGTCAACATGTCTTTCTCATCGGTTCTCCGCTAGTTTTTCTCTCTTTCTATTCCTCTGTTTGTTTCTCCCTATTGTTATATAATTCCTTCTCACACATAGTGTTTCCAGATGAACTGAGAGAACGAGTATAATCGACGAGCGAAAATTTGAAAAAGATATTCAAAGAAACATTCTCCTCTTCCTTGATACCGAAAATAGAAAAATAATATAATATATCGATTATAAATGGGACACCAGGTATATAATTTTCCTATCACATTGTATTAATATGTAACATGTATTATTTTAATTTTATTTCTATTATTACTTTCTTTTATTTTTTTTTCCCCTCTCTCGATCATTCTATCTCCTCTTCCCGCCGTTTCACGCTTTTTATTATCCTCCTCCGTTCATTTCGATTTTCCCGTTCACAGCTCTGCACAGTGGCCCACTGACGTCACAGAGCGCCAACCGCGAGGCTCGTTTATTTATAAGCAAAAAGTAGAGCGGGCAGAACACGAGAGAGAGAGTGGCTCTCATTGAGAGATGACGATTCCGTCGAACGACTTCGCGCGTCTACACACCGCGCATCCGATCAGTTTAGCTTTAGGGGGGTAAGAAAGAGTCGGGAAACGCTAGTCTAGAACACATTGGATAGAAGAAGGTGAAATAACGGGTGAAATAAAGAAAAGAAAAGAAAGAAAAAAGAAAAAGATAAAAGAAAAAAGAGAAAGAGAAGAAGAAGAGAAGGAAATTAAAGGGAAGTAAAGAAAAAAAGTTCAACTCTGCGTGTGTATATATATATATATATATATTAAATATTATGAAAAATCTAGTATTTGAAAATAGAAGGGAAGAGAAGATGTGAAAACGAAGTAAACGATGTGAAAAAAAAGAAAAGGGGGCAACGACTCGAGAACGCGAGGAGGGAGGGGATAATGGCAATGGTAAATTCTCGACGAACGTTCGTCGAGTTATTGTTGCGTTTAAGAATATACTATGTGAATATACACGTGCACGCGTACACGTATACACATACACGTACACAAACACATACATCCGTATACATTCTTTATGTTTTATAAAAAAGGAAGAAAAAATTAAAAAGAAAAAAAAATGGAAAAAAAAAAAAGAGAAAAGAAACATTGAAAAGAAGCGAGGAAATATTCGCGATTCTAGAAGGAAGGGACATAACGAAATAACCTATGTCCTATCCCATCGCGGATGCGACGATTAACAGAGAAGATTCTATACTTGCCGGTTTATAATGTCCATATGTGAAGTTAAACAAGTGATTACCCGATCACATATTGCCTGATATTGTCAGAGAGACCATACGATGATCGATCTTCATGGTAGTCCTTCATGGTTCCCGGGTGTTCGTTCCGTCGTTTTGAACGGAAAACGTTTATTCCATTATTTCTTTACAATTATTATTATTATTATTATTATTATTATTATTATTATAATTATAATATCTCGTTGCTAATTTGGCAATGGACTGCCGATATTATACATGATATATATATATATAATATATATATATATTAGCGTACGATCGATGATATTTGGTTCTCTGTTTGATTATCGAAGTTTCCAAAGGGAGAGAATAAAAAAAGAAAAAAAAAATAGATAAAGAATTAATTATCGAGTTATCCTCGATGAACGAACAGAGCACGTTTAAGCATATTTAAATAAGAGACTAATAATGAGGAGTTATACAAAAATAGTGGTCGAGTGAAAAAAAAAAGCGTATTTGGTGATTCGTATCACGAGTATTTTTACACTTAAAAATTGGCGAATGTATATCTCAAGTGGAAGAAAACGTAGGAAACGCATTCGAAATCCCCGTGTAATATTATGTAAAAAAAAAAAAAAAAAAAAAAAAAANAAAACCAAAAAAAAAAACAAAAAAAAAATAATGTTTTTTATAAATTAACAAGTAAGAATCTTTCCTATTCCTGTTCTATATATAGGAGTTGTGTTTCGTTAACCATAGAGAGAACTGTTATAAATTCTGAACATGAGCGGACGGGGAACACGAAAACTCATGAGAAAAGTTCTTTTAAATACGTATATAATAATATGTACGCTGTGTTTGACCCTTTTCCTTCCGAGTCATAATCGTTTTTGTATACCAATAATGTGCAACTGCTTGCTCGTCTAAGTAGCGGTTGAAGTGGCCACTTTTGGCCTAAATACAAGTCTGCGGTTGTCGTGTTACAACGTCATTACACCATACCATCGAGACTGCGTAATTTAGTAACATTTTAAAAAAATATTAAACAACGATTCGCGTCGATAACTTCTTTTCTCCGTGTTTTTTTTTTTAAATATTTCGTTCGTCGTATACGTGAATATTTACGCGAATTTCTCTGACAAAATAAAATTGTAATAATTTTAATTTTTTTTTTTTAAATGGCCGTCGGCTCGAGAGAACAAGATCAATAAAAATAAGATTCACGCGTCTACAGGAACTTTTTTCATTGTTTTCGCGTTAATCGTCGAGGCTGGTTCTCGAAACGTGTTACAAAACACCGTTGTATTATCGTTGGTGATATATAGTACGAGAAAGATAAATATTTTTCTCACTCTACGTTCTCGTGCTACGGTAAACCAAAAAAAGAAGAAAAAAAAAAAAGTTCAGAAATATTATCGTTATTAACTTGAAACGATTACAAAAAACTTATGTCCCTGGCCATCGAATTAGGACCATATGCAACAATTTTCTAACAACAAATATAAGTGACAAATTGTCTTCGGCCGCTCAAATTGTACACATAGGCGTAGGCGGTTTAATGTACACGAATAGAAATTTAATTTATCACTATCCTACCGCCTCTCTAACGCATCGAACCTCTCCTTACCCCATCGTTAATTATCCCAAAGATAACTTCTTCTTAGGGTGCTATAAATATACGTCGATCTTCCAATCACTTCGAAACATTTTCAAACATTTGCATCCGTCGAGTGAATCGAAAAGTAATTTCAAGCAAGTTGCGCAAACTTTAAATAAAAAAAAAAAAAAAGAAAAAAAAGAACGAGTTCTTTTTCCTTTTCTTTCTGATCGATGTTTAAGAAAAAAGAAAGAAAAAAAGTATTTCATTGCGTGTATTAAAAATTTTGTTAAATTAAAAAAAAAAAATTGTAATAAAGGGAAAAAAAGAATAAGTATCAACGTGTTCTGTATATATATATATATAAAACGTTCTAACGATTAATAAATTTTTTACTATCCAAAGTTCGTTCCACCGCATCTTTCGATTTATTTTTATTGGAAAAATGAAAAATATAATCGAAAATATTATAAGACGGTCCTAATTCAATGAGCAGAGGTTATTATAACGAGTTCCATCTCTAATCACACTGTTACTTTCCAATTTTTACACTTCTTACAATCCCCGCGCGTTTTCGTTATTTCATCGATGAAATTGTGAAACTGTGTGCGTTCCTTACATCTATGCACCGACGCTATACCAAACAGTATTAAACGGATCGGTTGTAATCGGTCGAACGTTATCGAAAATTGCCGTTTACACCCGGAAGCCAGGACTATCCTATGTTAGAAACAAAGTCGAGAGCAAGAACCAAGAGAACCACGTTGAGCCTTAGATCGCTTACTTATTTCCATTATTTCATCGATCAATGGAAATCGAGAAACAATGGCAGCCGCGATCGACGATGATTGTCGTACTTGACTTTGTCATTCTCATTCTCTTTTATTTTTATTTTTTTATTTTTTTTTTTTTTTACATAGGATAGGAGGTAAAAAATACTCGAGTCAATCGTCTCGCATCGAACAGATTTAATTTGAGAAAGCTCGGTTCATCGCCCCGTATGGCGAATGGCGATCACTCTTTGCTCGGACGGAATCGGTGTTCCGTTCGATTAAACATTTTGTTCGTGTTCTATTGCGCCTCGTTTGGTTCGTTATGTAGTTAGGTATCGGGTGGTTCTGTTGGATTCTCGTCGATTTCATCTCGGTCCGGTATTTATTTATTTATTAATGGATGCGTTCAGTTTAGCGACGAATCGCCAAATTTTCGATGATTGTTTTTCTTTTTTTTTAAACGAGAATGCGAATGGAAACGAATGTAAATGTAACGGGAGGAAGTGCTTTGTCGAATAATTTTAAGGATCTATTGTAAAATATTATGGATAAAGTGCGTTTTAATAATTCTGAAAGGAGAAAAAAAAATGTAAGATATGCGAGTTTTGAGTAATTTTATTAAAAAAAAAAAAAAAAAAAAAAAAAAAAAAANAAAAAAAAAAAAAAAAAAAAAAAAAAAAACCAAAGAAAAGAAAAAAAAAAGCAACAGAACCCTCCGACAGAATTAGCAGTTCAAGAGAAACCTGAATAGAAAGATTGACGCAGAGCGAGATTCATAGTGGCTAAAGAAAGAAGAAATGGAAGAGAAGGTATTAATATTCTTTAAAAGATTTAACCTTTATTTCGTTATGAAATTAACCATTTTTGATCATTGTTTAACCCTCTATTAACTCAGAGTTTTTTCTTTTTCGATTACAAAAAGAAAATTGTAGATTATATGCAATGCAATTAACACTTTAATTGATCTCTACTTGAACCGGCTAAATTTTTAATTGAAAGATTCAGGAGGAAAAATATAGATTCATAAAGAAAAGCTTTAACGAACTTAACTTGACAAGTTCTGTTTTTATAATCGTAAATATTATAATTCGATATTTTTGTCGATACTTTTTCGAAATTAAGCAAATGAAAATTATC